GCCCCCACACCTCACCTCCTCCTCTGGGGTGGGGTCTGAGTCATGGGGACCACGGTGAGCAGGACTGATGGCTCTAAATGGTGCAAGTCCGAGCAAGTGAGGGGAATGAAGGCCCTGTGGGAACAGAACGTAAGATTTCCTGCCCCTGAGTCTTTGCCCTGGCTGTTCCTTCTGCCTGGACGGCCCTGCCCTCTCTTGTCTCTTCCCCAGCATTAGGTTTTGATGCCCTCAGGGCAGAAGACTTGTTCTACTTACCTTTGGGAGCAACTTAGTCTGCAGTGCTTGGCCCAGGGCACAAAACAGAGACTGCAGACAGAGACTGGGCCGGGAACAGTGTGTGCAGGTGGGCCTGGGGGCGTGGGGTGGAGGAGAGAAGGAGCGACTCTCGGCGGGCAGCCCCACACTTAGCGCAGCACCGACAACATCGTCTATGTGACTCCACATGTCTAGCTGTTTGTTAATTAGGAGCTAATTCTGGAAACTGTTTAATACATAGATGTCCTGTATATAATAAGTGCTCAAAACTATTTGGTATTGTTGCTGTTGAGTGCCAGCTTTGTGTCAAGTCTGTTACATACTCATTTAATGACACACAACCCTTATTGTCTCCACTGTCCCAGGTCACGACCTCACTGGAGTGGCTGGGCTAGAATTTGAACCCCGTTCTGCAGGATCCTTCATTTGGTCCCAGCAGCCTGCAGAGGAAGGCAGGCAAGTCAGTGAGGCCCCAGTGACTCAGAGCTGGCGGGTCCCCTGGCCCGCCCTTTCCTCCTGACTCAGCCCAGGCGGTTCAGCGGGCCTTTCTCTGGAATTCAGGGCCCCCAGGCAACGTTCCTGAATGGCTGTCTCCTCTGCGATACACTCCCGGGAGAGCTGGCAGATGGCTGTGTTCCCATCGCAGCCTCGTCTGTGTCCTGCATCCCCCTTGGGGTCTCCATCTTCTCTCAGGAGGGTGGTCAGTGACTTGCTGGGGTGGACATCTCCCTCCCAATTTCCCTGTGATGCAGAGGGGCAAACCGAGGCAGAGGGGACCCGTGGTGTGGCTGGGTCATACAGCCATGGTTGAGGGTAGGGATGGGAGTAGGAGAAGCTCATATTCAATTTCTGGCTGCTTTTTTCTGTCTTTGCCTAGCCCTGGACCCCTGAATGGGACCCTTCAGCCCAGCCCAGGTCCCAGCCCTGGACAGGTGAAGGTCAGGCACGCACAGACCTCTGTAACTGACCTGAATGGGGACAAGTGTGAGTTGCCTTTTTACTCTGCTGCTGCCAAGAGAAGGTAGGGACGTGGCTACCTCTTCTCCATCTGGTCCCCCTGGAGTCTCCAGCTCAATAATGTGATGCTGGAGCATGGCTCCTGCCAGCCATTCCCTGCTGCCATTCTGCCTTACGGTGCCCTGCTGTCCCTGTCTTCTGGAACCCAGGCTCACCCAGGCTACCAAAGCCTTGGCCCTCAGTTCCCCCAATTTCTATAAAATGGTAGTCTTATTTCCCCAGTTTCATTCAGATATAATTTGGGGGGAGAGGGGAGGAATCAAGTCATTTTATTGATGGAGGGGTGAAAGGCTGGGAGGACAGTGAGATCTGATGTCCTTCTGGGCAGGATCTCCCCCAGCCTCAGTAGCTGAAAGTTCCTTCAGATATAATTGATACACAACACTACATTAGTTGAAGGTGTGCAACACAATGATTTGATACATGTTTAAATTGTGAAAGGATTGCCACAATAAGTTTAGTTCACATCCATCGCCTCCCATTGCTACAAATTGTTTTTTTCTTCCAAAGAGGACTTCAAAGATCTACTCTGGTAGCAACTTTCAAATATACAAAAGAGTATTGTTAGCTATAATCACCCTGTTGTATATTTCATCCCCAGCGCTTATTTATCTTTCTAACTGGAAGTTTGTACTTTTTGACTCCCTTCACCCATTTTTCCCTGCCCCCAGCCCCCACCCTTGGCAACCACCAGTCTGTTCTGTTTCCATGAGTTCGGTTATTTTGGTTTCCACATGCAAGCGAAATCACACAGTACTTGTCTTTGTCTGACTTATTTCACTTGATGTAATGCCCCCAGGTCCATCCATGTTGTTGCAAATGGTAGGATTTCCTTCTTTTTTTTACAGCTAATGAAAGGTGATAGTTTTTAAATACCCTTCTGGCCCAGATTCCTGTGATTGGTCACAAAAGAATCCCCAGCATCCTCCTTCCTTCCCCACCTCCACGAAATAGGTCTCAGGGAAGCAGGGCCCCTCTGGCCTTCTGCACAGAGTGACCCTAGGGGGCTCCTGGGCAGTGGGAGAGGAAGAGACATTGTTAGATGAATTCAATTGAGCATGTGCATTAAGGCCCCTCAGATGAAGGGTAGAGAAAAGTTAGAATGTGACTTGCCTAGAATCACAAGCACGTGCTATACTGGGATTGAACCCCGGGGCAGTTTGGCTCTTGTGTCTTGAAGCCCATCAAAATGAATTCTCCCCGTTGCCAGGTTCATTCATCAGTCTCCTACTGAACACTTACCATGTGCCAGGTCTCCTACTGAGGGCTGCCATGTATGCATTGATGTGACTCAGGCCCTGCACTTGGTGAAGAGATGGCCAGACAAGGTGAGATCAGTCTGGGGGCTGGGGTGGGGAGCCCAGGTCCACCACACATGCACATTTCCCATCTAGCAGGCGAGAGAAATCAAGGCTCCAGTGCCTGGAGTGCAATCAGAGGCTGCCTAAGAGGAATGAAGAAGGTGAGAGGCTGGGGGCCTTCCTGAAGGAGTGAATGAAAAAGTACACGCTCGCTTCTGTGGGCTTTGAGGCTGATTTGAAGGAGACAATAATAATCTAGTACAACTGATCTTTGAACAACGTGGGGGTTAGGGGCACCCACCCGTTTGCAGTTGAAAATCCGCTTAGAACTTTATAGCCAGCCCTCCATATCCTAGGTTCTGCATTCTTGGATTCAACCAAAAAAGGATGATATACTACTGTAGTACATACTTACTGAAGAAAATCTGTGTATACGGGGACCTGTGCCAGTTCAAACCCATGTTGTTCAAAGGCCCACTGAATTACTGCTGATAAAAGGGAACATCTTGACAGTCACCTGAACGGCCTTCTGCGCTGTATCTTTCCCCCACTCCCTGCCTTCTCTGATCTCCTTGCTGTCCTTCTCCACTTCTCATCCTCACTGTTTGTGGAACTTTCCGGTACACTCCTGGGGACCAAGACATTTCTGTTCTTGGAGCAGAAGCAGGCAACAAACAGGTAAAGTCACCCAGGAGTGGGGAGATGTCCAATGGAGAAAACAAGCAGAGTGGCTTGAGGGGGTACATAGGAGCCATGCAGGAGGAGCTCTGCCTGTGTGCCTGTGTGCTCGAGTGCCAAGGGAGGTGACCTTTGATCCAAGACTTGAATAACTAGAAGGAGCCCTCTGCACGAGGAGGGCAAGCATTTCAGGCATAGGGAACAGGCTGAAGCCCTGAGGTGAGAAGAGCTTACCAGTTCCCGGAACAGAATGAGGCTAGTGAGTGAGGGAGGCAGGTGGAAGAGATAGGGTGGGGCAGCTGGCAGGGTCTAGAAGCAATTTACATTATATTCCAGTTTGGTGGGGAAACCTCTGGAGGGTATCAACTGTTTTCAAAGTGATCCCTCTGGCTGCAGAGTAGACTATAGTCCAGCGCCCCATGGGTGGGCAGGTTAGCGGCTTGGACTACCAGCAGGGTCAGAGGTGGTGGGACAATGGATTGGTTTGCAACATGGGGACACACTTTGCTCGGAAGCAGGAAGAGGACCGATTGCCCAGTGCCCATTTCACAAATGAAGGAACTGTAGCTTAGAGGCAGTCCTTTTGCATAGGGGGAACCATTGTGCCCAATGTACAGATGTAGAAATTGAGAGGGAAAGGAATTTGCTCAAGGAGACATAATTGAAGTCAAATGTAGGCCCCTAGGGCACTTTCTTTGCTGCTAAACAGTCTTGCTCTCTAGGTGTGGCTGGAATTACTCACCACCTGCCTTCTGCAGACAAGCAAATTGAGGCTCAGAAGAACAGCACTCATGACAGTGAGCCTGGGTTAAGACCCAGGGCTCCTAATGTGAGGTCTAGACCCTCTGTCTCCATACCACAGTTCCTGCCTTCCTGGTGTGACTGTAGTGAAATGAATGTAGCAAACCCACTGAGGACCTAAGAGGAGGTGATGTTGAATTGCACACTTCCACTCCCAGTGCTGGGGATGCCCAGGGACTGATGAATGAGGGGGCTTTGCCTTGTGGGGAGGGCAGCTGTGTGCCTTCTTGTCTCCCACTCGGCTGGAGGCCCACTGTGGGCATGTGTGTGTGTGTGTGTGTCGGTGAGCGTGTGTAACTGTATGTGAATATGATTGTGGTGCCCACAGCAACGACAGCCTCTCTGGGACTGCTGGGCATCCAGCGACCTCCGGCTGGTCACTTCTTTGTCCACTTACCTGTAGGTCCCTTGGTTTCTATGTCTTATCTCCAGGCCCTGCTTAGGCTTCTTAATGAGGAAATAATTAACCACAGAAGCATTTTCTAAGACTTTCATCCCATTCTCCTGGTCAAGTTAAAAAGTATTCACAATGAACAAGGTTGCTAGTGGGAGGATGACAGGAAGCCAAGGGCACCTGGGGCCACTGGGAGGAAGGCCTGGTGTGTGCCTGGGCTCAGAGCCTGGGGCTGGGCCCTGGCCTGGTCCCATTGCTTCCTCACTGTGTAAATCTGGTCAAGTTCCTTGCCTTATTGGGCCTCTGCTTCCTCCTCTGTGAACTGAGGAATTTGCACTAGAATCCAGTACTTTCAAAGCATTTCCCCCCCAATTAAAACTGGTGATCTCCAAAACAAACAAACAACAAAAAAAAAAAGGTTAATTACATTTGGGAAACAACACTAGGGTATATAAAGGTGAGCCAGTTTTTTGACCACGTTTCTTGGCCTTCATTTGTTGAAGACTTTTATTTCTTTGGATACATAGCACAAATGCACATGGCGTTAAATTCAGATGGCATGGAATGAGTTTGGAGAGCTCACAGCTCTTTCCAGCCCCTCTGCTCCTCACTTTCAGCAGGCCCCACTGGCAGTATCTAACCCATGGAGGGATGGTATGGCCATGCCAGCTGATGTGGGTGTTCACTTTATTGTGGTAAGTGACTACCTCAAGGGGGTTGGGGAGTGTAGATTCCTTGCTTGGACTACAGCACCACTCCCAAGTGTTTCTGGGTCTAGCATCTATATGAACACCCTTTGGGAAATGGGTCTCTGGTCTTACTGTTCTCCAGTGAGACTATGTAGGAGGGACCTGGCTGGTGCCCTGAGAGTTCTGACTCTGATCTCCGAGAAGGCAGCCATAACTCCTGTCTTTTGCTGCCCACCCAGGGGCGGCCCTTTAGCTTGAGAGGAGGTGCCAAAACTGGCAATTTATTTGGGGACACGGAGACAAGGGTAGGTCGGAGGCCAGTCTGGGATCTGGATCTCCTGCTCCAGGATCAGTGCTCTCCCAGCTGAGCCCAGCCACAGACGTGCTCAGGCCCTGGGAGAGACCCTGGGGACGGGGGTGGCCTGGCTCCACATTGCATGGTCATTTCCTGAGACGAGCATATAGAATTGCACGGGGTGTGTGGCATCTGCACGGGGCTGGGGTGATGTGTAGGCTGTGTGGGACGTTTTAACTCCGAGCACACGGTTTGCTAATGTGCCGTGTGCCGGTGTGACCGGTATGCCCTGTGGCCGCCGTGTAGGCTGCGAGCAGAAGTTAGCGCCAGGTGCCAGGCGTGAGTGGCGGATTGGGCGCCGGGGACGCGCGCTGGGCCGGGGGAGCCGACGCCGTGTGCCCAGTGCCCCGTGCGGGCTGGAGAAGGTGTGTGGCGGCGCGCAGGAGGGTGTGAGCGTGCGTGTCCCGCCGGCGCCGCCCCGCCCCGAGGCCGGGCAGGTGTGGGCGGACCGCCCGGACCCTGCCGAGCCAGGGCCGGGAGAGCCGGCGGGAAACAGGAAGCGGGGGGAGGCGCGCAACGGCCGGACTGCAGGGAGCCGAGCTTGCGGGCGGACGTGCGGGTGGCTGGCCGTCCGGACGCTTGGCCCGGACCGGGTCGGCGATGTGGGGAGGTCCGGGCAGTCCGGGCGGTGGCGGGGCCGGGGGCGGGGCCGGGGGCGCCACCGACCCCGCCCCCCTGCGCCTGCGGAGCCGCCGCCCGAGCGCCGACCCGGGAGTGCGAGGCGGCTCTGGCGTGCGGGGTGAGTCCCGGGGGCTCGGGGGCCGGGCATCCTCGGGGAGGACCGGGCGCGGGAAGCCAGGGGAAAGCCGAGGGGATACGAGGAGTCCTACGGACGACGCCCGGAGCTGGGATCGGTCGGCGCACCCCGCCCCCGGCGCCGGCGCTGACCCTCGCGCGCCTCTGGCTCGCAGACCCCGAGGACGCGGCCATGCCGGGCGGAGCCGAGGCTGGGGAGGCCGAGGAGGAGGCTGGGGCCGGCTCCGGGTCGGAGGCGGAGGAGGACGCGCTGTGGGAGCGGATCGAGGGCGTCCGGCACCGGCTGACCCGCACCCTCAACCCGGCCAAGCTCACGCCGTATCTGCGCCAATGCCGGGTCATCGACGAACAGGACGAGGAGGAGGTGCTGAGCACCTACCGCTTCCCGTGCCGTGTCAACCGCACCGGTGAGCCGTGGGGGGCGCGGGGTCGGGCCTGAGCGGGCGGGGCCGGCCTTCCCTGGGGCCTTCTTGGGGCTGACCGGCCAAGGGCTCTGAGCCCCCGGACCTCGGTCTCCACATCGGTAGAGTGGGATGGTTGGTGTGTCCGCCATCCTGCCTCCTTCAGCGTGTCCGCGTGTCCACACCGCGCCTAGATTTCTCTCCCGCCTCCTCGGTCCAGCTTAGAGTAAAGGGTTGGGACCTCCCGTTCACAGCTGGTGGACTTGGCCTCGTTCATGTGTCCTTTGCTTTCATAGGTTCTCCCTGTCCCCCGCCTTCTGTGTGTCACATACTTCTCGGAGAGTTATTTTTCTTTATTTTCCCATCCCAGTTTTTTGAGGGTGCCTTCTCCCGTAGGTTGTGCCTGAGCGGAGCTGGTGAAGCGATGAGGGTCTGATGGTGGAATTTCAGGCACTGGTCAACGAGATAGCTATTTTGGTTTGCCTTTGAGGATGGAGGGGGCTTTTTTGTGCCGTTGTAAAGGCAGGCTCCATTTGCTGGCCCTGTATCCCTGTGGAGGGCAGGCAGGGGCTTGGGGAGCTGTTGAAACACAGTTGCCACTGGTGGTGGTAGGGGAGTGGGTCCTGATTCTCCTGGCAGGAGCAGACAGGCTATCTCCTCTGATGTGTTGAGTCAGGCCCCTGTGTGTGTCACTGGTTCAGAGATCTGGGGAATGTGGGCCCTGGAGTAGTCAGGGTGGGGGGCAGGGAGCAGACAGGAGAAAGCAGCTAGGCAGTGGGGGCAGCCCTCACCTTGACCCTTGGACACCCACCCCCCATTCTCCAGGGCGCCTGATGGACATCTTGCGCTGCCGGGGGAAGAGGGGCTATGAGGCCTTCCTGGAAGCCCTGGAGTTCTACTACCCCGAGCACTTCACACTGCTCACTGGCCGAGAGCCTGCCCAGCGCTGCTCCATGATCCTCGGTGAGTGGGTCTGCAGTGGGTGCCAGCACAGATTCCTTATCCCCTCCCTGTGAGGGGGGCACTCCTATTGTGGCCATTGAACAGGCAGGGAAACTGAGGCACAGAGACAGCTGAAACTGTCTGCCCAAGGCCTCCCCAGCAGGCTGAATGTGGGGCTGGGTTTGTAGTGCAGTTAGAGTCTAAATTCAGAGCCCACACACTTAACGTGGCTCTTTCCCCCTGAAATTGTTCTCAGACCTGTATGTGGCTGACGTGTACCAGTTTGCAGTTTCTTCTGTAAAAAACTCAAACATGCCATGAGACGAGAATAAACAGCAAAGATCTTTACTTCTTCCTTCAACTCTGCTCTGCTGGTAACAGTTTGGCAATTATACACACACACACAAACACACACATACACACATACACAGGGGATCATCTTACATGTCTTGTTCTGTATTTCATTTTTTCTTGGAACAACTGATTTTTGTGATTCACTCCCCCACAACCACCAGTGTGATTCTGTTATGCTTGTTTTTAATGACTGCATCGTGTTTGTTAGTGATGTGCCATAGTCATTTAACTCATCCTCTATTGATGTGTTATTTGTAAATATTACAGTGCTGGGAACATCCGCATCTTTGTGCACATGTGTGTCTCAGGAGAAGTTCTGAGAAGTCATATTTCTTAGAGGATGTGTAGCTTCCCTGGTGACTCAGTCTGTAAAGAATCTGCCTGCACTGCAGGAGACCTGGGTTCAATCCCTGTGTTGGGAAGATCCCCTGGAGATGGGAATGGCAACCCACCTTCAGTATTCTTGCCTGGAGAATCCCATGGACAGAGGAACCTGGTGGGCTACAGTCCATGGGCTCGCCAAGAGTCGGACATGACTTAGTGACTAACACACACACAGTATGGATCCCTCCAGCAGTGTATGAGCACCCTTTTTGTTGTCCCCTCATTCATCTTGGGGGTCATTTTAAAATATTTTTTGTGTGTGGTTAGATATGTGAAAAATAATTTGTTGTTTTAAGTTTGCACTTTGTTGAGAGATGTACTCAGCTTACTCAACAGCTTAGTTAGCCTGGGGCAAATGGCTTGACATTTCTGTGCCTGGGTTTTTCTGTCTTTAAAATGGGTGCAATAAATAGTACCTACCTTAAGTGTTGTGAAGATTACATAAATTAATATATGTATGTAGACCAAAGAATAAAGTCAAATGTTAGTGGTACTACTATTATTGTTGTTATTATTATTGCTAATGAGTTGGAGGGGGCTCCCAGGTGGCACAGTGGTAAAGAATCCACCTGCCAATGGAGGAGATGCAAGAGACACGGGTTCGATCCCTGTGTTGGGAAGATCCCCTGGAGTAGGGAGTGACAACCCACTCTAGTATTCTTGCCTGGAAAATTCCATGGACAGAGGAACCTGGTGGACTACAGTCCATGGGGTCACAAAGAGTGGGACACAACTGAGTGACTAAGCACAGCTCAGTACAAACATAGGAAAATACATTCCTTATTGCATATCTGCATGCATACATGCTCAGTCATGTCCAACTCTCTGTGACCCCATGGACTGTAGCCCACCAGGCTCCTCTGTCCATGGGGATTCTCCAGGCAAGAATACTAGAGTGGGTTGCCATTCCCTTCTCCAGGGGATCTTCCCAACCCAGGAATTGAATCGGGGTCTCTTGCATTGCAGGTGGATTCTTTACCAGCTGACCTATCAGGGAAGCCCTTTTCTTTGTTTACCAGTCATTTTTTGTTTGGGAATTTGCAATTTGATAGTTTCTGGCCATAGTTTTATTTTGTTGTTTGCTTACTGATTTGTAGGAGCTCTTTATATAGTGTGGCTCTGTGTCATTTTTTGTATTTTCTTCCACTCTCTTACTTGTCTTTTAACTTTGCTTCTTACATCTGTCATCATTCAGAAATCTCTTATAGTTTTTTGATTTTTGCCTTGTTTAGGAAGCCCTCCCTGTCCCCACATTGTAAAAATGGGTTCCAATATTTCCTTCTAGTGTTTTTCTGGTTTGGGTTTTTCTGTGTGGTCTGCCATCTTGCTGGATTTTATTTGCCTGACCTGACTTTTCTCTGCCCTGTGCTTGGCAGATGAGGAGGGGCCTGAGGGCCTGACCCAGTTCCTGATGACAGAGGTGCGGCGGCTGCGGGAGGCTCGAAAGAGTCAGCTGCAGCGGGAGCAGCAGCTGCAGGCCCGGGGCCGGGTGCTGGAGGAGGAGCGGGCAGGGCTAGAGCAGCGGCTTCGGGAGCAACAGCAGGCTCAGGAGCGCTGCCAGCGGCTGCGGGAGGACTGGGAGGCGGGGAGCCTGGAGCTTCTGCGGCTTAAGGATGAGAACTACATGATCGCCATGCGCCTGGCACAGCTCAGCGAGGAGAAGAACTCAGCCGTGCTGCGCAGCCGGGACTTGCAGCTGGCGGTAGGCCCTGGGGAGGTTGGGGTGGGGTGTGCCGTGGGGAAGGGGCAGCTTTGCAAAAAATGATGGTAATACGGTAGCCAGCTGGTGTCCCAGAGCCACCATCTGCTGGTTACTGGACCATGGGCAAGTCCCTTCTCCACCCCGTGCCTCAGTTTTCTCATCTGTAACATGGGGATATTGATAGTGCTTATTTCATTGAGTTATGACTGTAGTTTTCAACTGGGGGTGATTTTGCTCCCCCTGCCCCTAGCAACTTTTGGCCATGTCTAGGAACACTTTTGATCATCACGACCAGGACTGTGTTACTGGCATCTAGTGAGTAGAGGCTGGGGTTACTGTTAAACATCTTTGGAGCCCAGGACAGCTCCACAACCAAGAACTGTCCAGTCCAAAAGGTCTGCAAGTGCTGAGGCAGAGAGACCTTGAGGTAGAAGGATTCCTCGGATTTAAGACATGTACAGTGCCTGGTGCAGGGTTAGTGCTCAAAACCTGGATTATGGTTAGCCATTGTTATTGATATTATTAAGTATGACTCTGTGCCATGCAGGTCACACGTATCACATCATGTAATCTCACAAAGACACTGTGCTCCACGTTCTCATTTTGGAGTACAGACACGGGTGTAGATTGTAAAGAGACCTCCTCGAGGTCACAGAGCAGCAAGTGGCACAGCCTGGATATGAACCAGGTCTGCCTGGTGCCCCTGCTGGCCTCTGCCCCATGATGCTGTTCCTCTCGCTCCCGTCCAGATGAAATCTCACCCAGTTCTCTCTATAAGCGAATGGGGCCATGCCTCTTAGAGGCTGAGAAACTAAGCTTCTCTTTCTTGGTGTCTTATTGGGTCTTCACATGGGGATAAAGCTGGGATTATACTGCTGCAGAAGGTTGTCTCAGGATTTGACAGTGCCTGCGGCCAAGGCAGGAGATGCAGGGTTTGATCCCTGGGCGGGGAAGATCCCCTGAAGCAGGAAATGACAACCCACTCCAGTATTCTTGCCTGGAGAACCCCATGGACAGAGGAGCCTGGTGGGCTGTGAATGAAGTGACTGAGCACACACATGGCACACAGTAGGCTGTTGCTGGCGGTACTGCACAGGGTTCCACTGGGGGATTTTGATGGTGGGATCTGAAGCCCCCTGACCCCATGAGCCTCAACTGTGGCTGGGGCGCCCCAGGGGGTGAGAGGTGGCCGTGGACCATGGGTCGCATGTCCACGATGAGCCTGTAAGCGTGAGAGCACTGGTGTGCTGGAGCCTGCAACTGTGGGTGCCATTGGGGGTGGGGGTGGACATCTGGGAAAAGGAGTCTCGACTGGGGGTTGTTGAGGCCACAGGTTCATGGGCCCAGGCTGCCAGGTCCTCTTGAGCTTCAGGTTTCTCATCCTTGAAGCAGGAGGTCACGATGCAGTGACATCATAGCAATAAAACACCTCCTGTGTAGTAGGCATGGTCCTCCGGGCTTGATGTCCATCAACTCCTATAATTTCCTGGGAACTCCACTGGAATAGGGATCAGGCAGAGCCCCTGTTATTACCCCCACTTATGAATGAAGGAAACTGAGGCACAGACAGGTTGGTTGGAGTACTTTCCCAGGTACAGACAGGTTTCCAGGGTTTCCCAGGGTTCTAAGATGGAGAATTTCTGACTCTACTCTGGGCACTGCTGGGAGTCGGGTGAGCTGGGGGAGGAGCCTGGTGGGGAGAGCCTGCTCAGAGCGGACAGTGTGATGGCCGCTGGTCCCTGTGGCCGGCACAGTTGGTCTCACCTTTGGGTTGGATGTGATTGTGAGTTGGGTCTAATAAGCAGAGGATATGTGCCTGTGACTGGGTGGGGGGTGCCCTGTGTGTGCGTGCGTGCGCCGTCTGGAGTCTCCTGGGGTTGGGTAGACGGATGAAGAAGAGGTGTTGGAGGTTCCCTGTGTGTCAGCATTTCAGCTCTAGGTGCACATAGTGTGTGCCTAGTCACTCACGTGTGTCCAGCTCTTTTATGACCCCATGGACTGTAGCCTGCCAGGCTCCTCTGTCCATGGAATTTTCCAGGCAAGAATACAGGAGTGGGTTATCATTTCCCTTCTTAAGGGGACCTTCCTGACCCGGAGATCAAACCCATGTCTCCTGCATCTCCTGCACTGCAGGCGGATTCTTTACCGCTGAGCCACTGGGGAAGGTCCAGGATGGCCCTAGGGGTAAATAAATCTGCCAATGGGCAGAGAACAGCTGCTTTTTCCTGGTTTAGCTGGTGGAGGTTAAGGGATGAAATTCAGTTAATAGATAAGCTTTTCTTTAAATGTAGCTACTGTACCCTTGCCTTAATTTACTGGAGCTTTTCCGCAACCAGTTAACAAAGGCTTTGCAGGTGGAGATGAACAGAGCAGCTGATCATGCCTTTTCCTGGCAGCTTGGGTTCCCTCCCCACCCCGGACAGGTGTGTGGTGGCTGTGATTTAATACTGTATTTTATAAGGTGCAAATTTAATGAGCTGTTATTTCTAAGCAACATAAACCTTAAAGGAATGAACGCTATAATTTTGTGTTAAGTGAGTTTGTACACCAGGATTAAATGCATCCGTTATTTCCTGGTGTTTGGCGGAGACTCCCAGGTGCCCTGTCCCCTGAGCTCATCCGGGAAGCCTGCCGGCCTTGGGTCAGGCAGGAGGCCGGGGTGTGTGGCTGTGGTTTGCTGGAGAGGGTGTGACCACATTTGCCCTTGTAACTAGCTGTCTTTCTCCAGCGGCTCACAAAGCGGGTTTTGTGAGGGGAAAGGAATGTGAGAGTCATGAATTTCTTTCTGAGTCCTCTGCGGAGGAGGAGTGGGCTGTTAATTCGTGGAACTGCCTGACCCAGTCTCCAGACCCTTGTGTGTGTGGGGTGGTGGTGTGGGGAATGCCATGCCAGGCTCTGGAGTCTGGGAGGCTGGGAGTCCTTTCCAAGCAAGGCCAGGGCGCTCCTAGGGCACCAGACATCAGCATGCCTGAGTGTAGCCCCGGAGGTCACTGTGTCTTTTTCCGACAATGACTTCATTTTGTGGCCTGCTACCTGCTGCTCCTCGTGTCACTGTCCAGCCACCTCAGACCCCACATGAATTTGGAAAATCGCTTGGGCTGAGTACACTCATAATCCAGCCAGGTGGTCGTACATCTCTGCCATGGCCACTACTCAGCCACCCACACAGCCCCCTTGGTCAGTTTCTGGCTGCCCACACTGAACTGGTGACTTGGGGGGCGGTCCTAGGATTTTATTCAAAGCTGTAAAAATAGCCACTGTTACACCCCCAGCAGTTTTGTAGTTTAAAGGCCTCTGTCCACCTGCTGTCTTGTTTGATGCCTGCAATGACTTTGGGAGGCAGGTGGTGGAGCAGGAGCAGGGGGATTGTACAGGCCCATTTTACTGATGGGGGAACTGAGGCCCAGAGGAGGTAAGTGACTTGCTCAGGATGATGGAGGGTAAAATGATACAATTGAAACCTGGACCCCAGATTTGGAATTTGTGTTGGGAGTGAACCAACAGCATAACCATCCCTCATGGAGGCTCTGTTAGGAATTATCTCTAAGGGAGGATCAGACTCATGGCTGTTCTGTGCATGTATGTTGAGCGGGGAGGCTTTCTGAGGGGGATCATCCTGGTTCTTAGGCTGGGTGAGACCCTCAAAACTATCCTCCTCCTTATTCCCCTGGGAGATGAGGAGACTGAGGCACAGAGAGGGGCCATGACTTGCCCAAGGCCACACGGAGTTAGAGGCCGAGCTGGGCCCAGCCCCTGGGTCCTCCTGTTCTTGGTGGAGCCCTCCTTCCCATCCATTACGTTGGTGCTGGGCTTAGTTGCCTGTGCTCAATGTCAGAACTGCGAGACAGACAAGTGTGTTGTGATCTGGCCCGTCCACCGACAAGCCCTTGAGGCAGATTCCCCTGGGAGGGTGGCTTGGCCTTGTCATATTGGTCCAGCAGCGCTTCTTTGTAGACATGTCCAGGGGGGATGCCTGCTCGGGCCCCTCTGGGAATTGGGGAGCCACCCCGGACTGCAGGAGCGGGACCTCTGTCTCCCCTCTGACCTGGCCAGTGCTCCCTCCCTGAGCTGACTCATATCCTGGGCCCCAGGTGGATCAGCTCAAGCTCAAGGTGAGCCGGCTGGAGGAAGAGTGCACGCAGCTGCGAAGGGCCAGGGGGCCACTCCCTGGGGCTGAGGAGAAAGAGAAAGAGAAAGAGCCCGACAGTGCGGACCTGGTCTTGGAGCTCCGCGCTGAGAACCAGCGGCTGGTGGCCTCACTGCAGGAGCTGCAGGAAGGCCTGCAGCAGGTATGGGGGTAGGCCCAGGGGGAGGCCAGACCCTCCCGCTCACTTGTCCCCATGAGGCCTGGAAAATGAGGATTCTAGATCCAGGGATCTGAGATCTGGCTGGCCTCTTGAGCTCTGAGTGGAGGCCCTCAGCTCACCCTGAGTGTTGAGTCTGGGTTCTGGGGCTGGGGGAGGGGGGACTCAGGAAGCCTCTGAACTCCTTGAAACGGTGCATCTGATTTTGTGTGTGAACGTTTTTCTGGGGAGTGGGCCCCCAGTTTTCCTTGGATTTGTAAAAGAGTCTGATCATGGAAAGGTTGAGACCTCTGAGGTCTGGGTGGCCCCGGGGCTTGCTCAGTGTCCTGTGGCAGGTAAGGGACAGCATGGGCCTGCCACCTGGCCATTACTCCTCACAGGAAGTGGGGGAGGAAGCTAGGACTCTGGTGTATTTTATAGGGTTGGGGGTGCCTGGCTAGGGTGTGGGTCTGGGGACTGGATCTTCAGCTCATGGTCTACCTGCCTGGGCAAGGCTCAGACCCTATGAAAACCCCTTGCCAGGCCAGAGGAGGGGGGTAGAAATAGGCCTCGGAAATATTACCCATCTTCTATCCTGGCTAGCGGGTGGGGGCCAGAGCAAGAGAGAACAGGCCTGGTTCTTGTTGAGGAATAAGATCCTGGTCCAACTTGTCCGAGCACGCCCTCATCCACTTACCTCATTTGTACACCAGATGCTCCCTGGAGGGTGGGCAGAACTGCTGGGGCCACACCCACTCAGCCAAAGGGGAAGCCAGGGTTCAGAGAGGCCAAGGCTCTTGGCCAAGGGGGCAGAGCTAGTGAGCTGGGGCTGAGAGCTATGTGTCCCCCCTCACCCCACACTCAGGAGGGGCCTGGAGTCAGGGGCTGGGGCAGCACTGAACTCTGACACCCGCCCCCACAGGAGGCAAGCCGGCCAGGGGCCCCAGGCTCTGAGCGCATCCTCCTGGACATCCTGGAACATGACTGGCGTGAGGCTCAGGACAGCCGGCAGGAGCTGTGCCAGAAGCTGCATGATGTGCAGGGGGAGCTGCAGTGGGCCGAGGAGCTGCGGGATAAGGTGATGTCCACGTTCCCCATATACCCCCTGCCTTGCCCCCACTTGCCTTATTGCTCACAGCCTGGGGAAGCTCCTGGGGAGGCGGGGAATGGACATCACCCATTTACTTCAGCCAGCTTTCCCCGAGCATCTGCTGTGTGCCAGGTCCCGTGCCAAGAGCTGTGCATTCATTTGTTCTCAAATATGTGTTGAGGTCCATCCGTGAACAAAACAGAGGTCCCCTCTCCTGGGGAGGATAGATTCTAGCAGGGGAGACAAACAGGACACCTTATGCATAATCCACAGTCCCTCACTTCATGTCACGGAGGGTGATGAGTGCTGTGGAGGAAGCAGAGTGGGTTAAGGGGGCAGACTGCAGTTGAAATGAGGAGGCCCAGGTAGGTTGGGATGGGTTGTTGTCCCCATTTTACAGATCAGGCAGCTGAGGCCCAGTGAGGGGATGGTAGCCCAGGCTACCCAACTGAGGAGGTGGGCACTCATTACTGGGGTTCAGGCCTTTCCCTGGACCTGCTAGCCTCCTGTCCATGGTCCCCGGCCCTGGAGTGTGACTTGGGTGTGTCCCATCCTGCTCCACCCTGCCGCACCCACAGTACCTGCAGGAGATGGAGGACCTGCGGCTGAAGCATCGTACGCTACAGAAGGACTGTGACCTGTACAAGCACCGCATGGCCACCGTCCTGGCCCAGCTGGAGGAGATCGAGAAGGAGCGGGACCAGGTGAGCCCCGCCTGCAGGGGAAGATGGGGAGAGGTAGGTGGGACTGGAATCACAGACAAACAGTATACTCGTCAGTTTAGGATGGGGCAAGTAGGCCAGGAGAAACAGACAGGGGACCTGAGCGCTGAGGTATGCCAGCCCTGCCCTCTCAACACACCTGCCTCACTGGGCTTCTGGGACAGGTATGAAAGCTGGTGTGGGCGGCCTTTGCATCTGAATCCCTGTTCTGCTCACATCAAGGGTGAGGCTTTCAAATATTTGGTGGTGAAGAGATTCTCAAAAGTTCTGGCTCCCAAGCCCAGGGTACCATTCCTTCACCTCCTGAGGAGTGGGCTGAGGCCCCCAGCCCTCCTCGTCTGAGCTCCCCATGCAGCGGGGAGGGCAGCAGGTTTTGTCCTTGGGCCACATTCGAATCCCTGGAGCAGTTGATGTCTACACATGAGCGTGGGCCTCAGGGGGCTGGGTGAAAATGCAGATTTGGGGTTTCGACCCCAGACATACTGGTTCAGGTGGTCTGGGGTGGGCCCAGGAATCCGCACTTTACCTGGTTGCTCCTAGCCCCTGAGACTCTCACCCCTGCTCCCTCTGAGACAATGGGTGGCAGGTCCCCACGGCCATGGATCCAGCTCTTGGGCACCCTGGTCTACATTGTATGGAAAAATTTTTTGAGTGCACTGGGCTGGGTTTTGAACCCTGGAGGCCGGGAATAAAGTCCCCCAAACACAGTGTGTCCCAGAGAAGAGTTTTGAGTTGTTTCCGGGAAATGGTACGAGCCTAGACTCTGAAGCTATGTCCCTGCTGGCTTGGTGTCCCTGTCTGTAAAATGAGAATAAAGAGACTTTCTAACTCTGAGAGTTAGTGTGTAGATTAAATGAGCCAATATTTAGCACAGGGTACAAGCATGCAGGAAGTCCTTAATAAACATTAGCTGCCGGTCCTGTTGCTACCCATCCCACCACCCCCTGGCCTGATCTGAAAGGTCAGAGGCCAGGACAGCTGAGCCAGCATGTCACCTCCAGCTCCTGGCCCCAGTCCCCTCCCTGCCCACTCTTGCCAGGCCATCCAGAGCCGAGACCGTATTCAGCTGCAGTACTCGCAGAGCCTCATTGAGAAGGACCAGTACCGGAAGCAGGTCCGAGGCCTGGAAGTGGAGCGGGATGAGCTGCTGACAGCGCTTACCAGCCTGGAGGGTGCCAAGGCCCTGCTGGAGGTGCAGCTACAGCGGGTCCAAGGGGGGCCCCATCTCAAGGTGAGCAGGGTCAGGAGTCCAAGCTGGAACTCTCGGCCAGAGTGAGACCTGGTGAGAGACCTCAGCTGGGGGCGGGGACATGGGGGACCCATCGGGAGTCCTCACCTGGGCCTGGGAAGATGCAGGCTCTGGGAGGAAACATGCGGGTCCTGGTTGGAGTCATCATTCGAGATCAAGAACATGCCAGTCTTGGAGGGGGCTGTTGGCCAGGGTGGACAAAATGCAGCTCAGATGGGTGGGGGTTGGTGTATCAGGGAACAAGACAGGAGTGTAGGGGCCTCTGGGTTTCTGAGGTTATACCTGGGGTGCGAAAAACAGTTTGAAGCTTGTCTTATCATACACTTGGAGAGCCCCAACTTGCCTGAGTGCTGGTGAGCATCTTAGAATGCAAAATGTGTGCCCTAGAAGTTCCTCAGAAACCGACTAGTACAGTTGCCTCATTGCACAGAGCCCAGAGAGGGTCATAAGCTTGCCCAGGATCACATAGCCATCCAGCAGTGGAGCCGAGCCCTCAGATCCCTTATAAATCAGACACTGGCTCTCAGATCTCTGCCAAGATAGGAAAAGAAAGGCTTTTCCTATTTTGTGTGTGTGGTTAGTTGCTCAGTCATATCTGACTCTTGGCGACCCTTTGGACTGTAGCCCACCAAGCCCCTCTCTTCATGGGAGTTTTCAAGCAAGAATGCTGGAGTTGGTTGCCATTTTCCTCCTCCAGGGGATCTTCCTGACCCAGCGACTGAACCCACATCTCCTGTGTCTCCTGCGTTGCAGGTGAATTCTTTACCCACTGAGCCATCGGGGAAGCCCCTTTCCTATTTTGGGTTTGCTTAAAGAGAATCAGTCTGCCAGGAGTGTAGTAACTGAAGAAATAGGACAAAAGAAGCATAAATCTGTGATTTTTGACTTTTAAATATCCTCAGTGGCTTACTTTGCCCTAGAAGTCCTACAGGGTGGTTCCCTTACCTGCCCACCTCGAGCCTGGTTCTCTCGGTCTCAACTTTTTTTTTTTAATTATTAAACTTTTTGTTTTGTATTGGCATATAGTCAATTAATAATACTGTGATAGTTTCAGGTGGACAGCAAAGGGCCTCAGCTATACATACATGTTTATCTGTTCTCCCCCATACTTCCCTCCCATCCAAGATGCTACAGAACATTGAGCAGAGTTCCATATACCATATAGTAGGACCTTGTTGGTTATCCATTTAAAATATAACAGTGTGTACATTGTTGATCCCACACTATCCCTTCCCCCCAGCCTCAGCTTTTTAACTCCTAGAATGTGTCAGTCCTGCCTCAGGGCCTTTGATCTGACTGTTCCATCTGCCTCACCCATTCTCCCCAACTTTAACACCTACATATCCTTGAGTTCTCAGTTCCAACCACACTTTCCCTGGAAAACACTCTGATGGCCCCCTGGCCGGGTGGGGCCTTTGAGTGCCTTCCCCACCCTAGGTACCTTCCTTCCCAGCTCTTTTGGCAGCTGAGCCTTAATTCCTTCATCTGTCTGCTTGTTCACAGTTTTTCTCCTCTACTAGGCTGTGAGCTCCATGAGGGCAGGAATCCAGCTCCCTCCTTCCCCACCTCATCCCTGTTTCCAGCCCTTGGGCGTTGAGAAAATGGCGGTGGCTGGCCCTGGCCCAGCGCTGCTGACCGCTCCCTCTCCCCTTCCTCTCCAGGCCTGCGCCTCTTCCCATTCCCTGTGCTCCAACCTCAGCAGCACCTGGAGCCTCAGCGAGTTCCCGTCCCTGCTGGGAGGCCCAGAAGCAGCGGGGGAGGCGGCTGTCATGGGAGGGCCCGAGCCCCACACCTCGGTAAGACGCCTGCTCTAGCGCAGATGTGGGGGGTACGCTTGGCCGTCATATTATTACTGACACACAGGGGGCTCTCCAGTTTGCAAATCGAGGCCCATGAAAGCCAAGTGCCTTGTTGAAACTCCCAAAGAAGCTGGCTCAGTGCTGGGCCTGGGCTCGGGCGCCAGGAGACCTGAGGAGCCATTCACATACAGAAACTTCGCAGAGCCCGCCCCTCCACTCTGGGCTCTAGTTCCCGTCTGTGAAATAAGACAAACTTGGCACAATGAGTTGTGGGCGGGTGCCGTGGGGGTGACCAGGCCCTGCTGTGACTTTGCAGGAGGAGGCCACGGACAATGAGAAGGAGATCAATCGCCTCTCCATCCTGCCCTTCCCGCCCAGCGCTGGCTCCATCCTCCGCCGGCAGCGAGAGGAGGACCCTGCGCCCCCTAAGAGGTAAAGAGAGAGGCCAGGGGTGGGGGGCGCTACTGTTGCCTCTCAGAGTCCCTGATGCCAGGGTCAGGTCCAGGCTGTCACCTCCCTTTGCTGCCCTTAAATGACTGGAGCTATGGAAACCCAGGTTTCAGAAGTCATATGTGTAACCAAGGGGTTAAGACAAGGTCAAAGGGCAGAGTGGGCTCAGTCCCTGCTGAGCACCCTGACATGAGAGTCACTGGAGGTTAAGCCTCAAAGAGCCTTAATCCAGGGGGAAGCCTGGGTGTTCAGGACTAGGAGACACGGAGGAGGTTCTCAGAGGTCAAGGATCTCAGGCAAGAACGGCTGCAGGTTCAGGCAGCAGCAGAAAATGGGGCCAGATAAACTGAGCCATATGATTGGTGCCAGGACCGAGGGCGGGAGATCTCCTGCCTCCTGGCATGTGTTCCCCGTCATCAGCTTGATGTAATCAGTGAACCTGCTATGATGAGTGTGCGATGGGAAGGTCATGTTCTAGTGTGGGAGGCAGACGCTGGAGCTACAAATGACAGTAGAAAGTAGGGTTGGGATGAGGCATGAGAGGTCAGGGTAGGCTTCCTGGAGGGAGTGGCATTACAGATCAGAAGGGGTGGCCTTCTAGGTGGAGGGACATGGGCACAGTCGCACGATCAGAATATTAGTTTCTTGCCCTGAGACTTTAGGAGTCTAGCCTGCCTGTGCTTGGGGGTTGCCAGACATTGGGGCAGCATGGGGACAGGGGCAGGGGGTGGGGCTGAGTGCCCACTGCGCTCAGTGCTGGCCCCTCCCGCCCTCTCTCTGCCCAGGTCCTTCAGCAGCATGTCAGACATCACAGGTAAAGGCCCCGGGATGCTGGGGAGGGCTCGTCTGGGGACCCACCTGAGGCCTGTGCTGCCTATGCTGCCCGTGGCCCACGTCCCCTCCCTGAGGCTCTGCTGTCCCCTGGCCAGGCAGGGAGGCTCTGCTCAGGAGGCCCCGGGGGAGCTGATTCCCACCTCTCACCCGGAGCCCATCGTGGTCCTCTCTCCTGGTCCCAGCTGCGCTCTATGGAGCTACTCAGTTCCAGCCTGCCCTCCACCTTCTTCCAGGAAACTGAAGGGTCACCCTGGTCGACCCAGGCCCAGCCCTGAGCCCTGTGAGTCCAGTGTGTTCCCAGGGCCTCCAGCCTGCCAAGGCCTCTGGGCCCTGAGCCATCCCTGGGCTCGAGGGGCTCACCCCCTTCTCATGGACCCAGCCCTCCGTCATGGCTCTGCTGGCGCCCCTGAACCTCACCCCTCCTCCCCAGGGAGTGTGACGCTCAAGCCCTGGTCCCCGGGCCTCTCCTCGTCCTCGTCCTCCGACAGCGTGTGGCCTTTGGGAAAGCCGGACGGCCTTCTGGCCAGAGGCTGCGGCCTGGATCTCTTCAACAGGTACCACAGTCGCCTGGGGCGGGGTGGAGCTGGGGGGCTGGTCCGGATCCCCGGAGAAGGGTTAGCAGGGGTGAGGTGGGAGGGAGCAGCAGCGAAGCCCTTGCCTCATGCTGCTGTCAGACTATTGGGTTTTTGCGCAGAGGCAGACGTTGAATTCATATGCTGTCACCATTGTCTGCGAGGCTTGGGCTGGTTATTTCACCTCTCTGGACCTCAGTTTCCTCATCAGGGAATAGGGCACAGCAATGTCTTCTGCAGGTGGTGTTTGAAGGCTTAGGAGTTGTGGCAGCCAAGCACCCTCCTCTGCCAGGCGTGCGGTGGGTGCGCGGTAGGTGGCAACTGTTACTTGTACTGCTTGCCTGTCCCTGCTCAGATCTCCCAGCAGGACTGAGCCTCCCAGCAGACTTTGTGCTGAGGGCAGGGTGGGGTGGTGGTAGTTTGTCATTTGTAGCTCCCTGCAGCTGAGCTGGCCCGCCTGACTGGAGACATGAACCTCGGCGGCTCCCAGCACACTGCAGGCCATGTGCTCTGTCCATTTTGGTGGACGCATGGCTTTCCTGGTCAGTGATCTCAGAAGGACAGGCGATGATCTGAGAATGTGGCCTTTGAACGCAGCCAGGAGAGAGCAGGCCAGGAGGGCAGCTGGGTGATATGGAAGAGGAGAGAACAGAGCCTGTCCAGGGACAGGCCTGGCGTTTGGTGGTGACTGGAGCATGAGGGCAGGGAAGGGGGAAAGGTGAAAGTCGAGGCTAGGGCAGGCTTTGTGAGTCAGGCTGGGGAAGTGTGGTGCTGTGCACCCTGGGAAACCTGGGTGGTGGGGGAGGAGGGGATGGTGCTTAGCTAGCTCCAGGCTGCTTTACAGCATTCCCTCTGTCCTGGGAGGCAGGCTCTATTATGATTACCCCTTTTTTATAGAGGAGGAAACCGAGGCTCAGAGAGGTTAAGCGACTTGCCCGAGGTCACACAGCTGGGACATGCCAGGGTCAAGGTCCAGGGTGTCCTGACCAGATTTGGGTTTTGGGGAGGGCATAGGAAGCACTGAATGTCAGAGCTGGAATGTGGGGATGCTGGTTACAGAGGACAGGTCGCACAAGAAATCAGGGCAAGAGCAGCACTGGGAGCCTCCTGCCTCCTGGAAGTAGCTTGGCCAGGCCCCTGCCCCCACTCTCAGGCACCGGGCCCAGTGTGACATTGTTTCTCACTGTGCAGGACGTGCTTCTGGGGGAAGGGGCGGAGGTGCCTCCCTTCCTGCCTGCCTGGCCCTTCCTCTCTTCCTCCGCTCAGGCCTGCAGCAGGGGTCCTGGCTGCTGTCCAAGGGCCCCCGGGATGCCGCAGAGGGAGCTGGAGGTTCTGGCCCATGTGATCATGGGACCACCTCTGGTGCCCACACAGTTCCTGGGGAGGAGGGAGATGGGGGAGGAACACAGATTGAGGGGTTGGGGCAGGGTTGGTGGACTAAGAGAGCAGGGGGTGGGCCGATGGGAGTTCAGGGATGTGAGAGCCCTAATGGCCTGGGGAGCGCTGTTTGCACAAGTCCTGGGCTGGAGGCAGGGTTACAGGTCAGAGCACAGGCGGGATCCAAACAGACTTGTGAGCCAGCTGAAATCCTGGCTCTGCCACTTGCTACTGTGGGGCCTTAAGCAACTCATTTAATTTCTCAGTACCTCAGTTTTCTGCTCTGTAAAATGGGCTCACAGTAGTACCTCTCCCTTAGGGTCATTGTGGAGGTTCTAATATTCTTACTAGAGTGCTAAATGCAGTGCCTGGCTCATAGTGAGTGGGAAGTTAGCTCTTAGCTATTATTGGTGCTGTTGTGGCTTAATCCTCAGAGTAGCCCTGCAAGCCCCATATACAGATGAGAATGAGGCTCAGAGTCAGGAATGTGTCCCACGGCCACTTGGTGGTGGAGCTGGGGATTCCAGAGTCCCTTCCTCTCATCACAGCTACTTGAGTGTTTTTTTTTTTTTAAACTTTTATTTGTTTTTGACTGTGCTGGGTATTCATTGCTGCACACAGGCTTTCTCTAGTTGCAGCAAGAGGGGACTGCCCTTCAGTTTTGGTGTGCAGGCTTCTCATTGTGGTGGCCCCCCTTGTGGAGCTCAGGCTTAGCTGCCTCACGGCATGTGGATTCTTCCCAGAACAGGGATCAAATCCGTGTCCCCTGCCTTATCAGGCAGATTCTTAACCACTATCCTCCCAGGGAAGTCCCCACTGAAGCTGCTTTAACCTCCACCTTGTTGAGCTCCCTGTGTGTTGGGCATTGCGGCTCTTTGCTCCCCCCTGCCCCTCTTGGCTCCCAGAGTCTTGGGCCAGGGCAGAGGATGGTCAGGCAGGTGGAAAAGAGTGAAAGCGAGATGCTGGGTGGGAAGGACACTGGGAGAGTATTGGGGTGCTGTCTCCCGGGCAGGGCCACACCTGCCCGCTCTTGTCACAAAGACAGAATCTCTGGCATTGGCCGACCTCACACAGGGAAGGTTTGGGTAGGTCACTGTCTTAACTCCACCACCCACCAGCTGTGTAACCCTTGGCAATTGTAACTTCCCCTGGCTTCCGTTTGCCTCTTCTCTTATGTTGGGGGAATAACAGATGGCTTCCGTAGGGTGGTTAGGAGGATTCAGTGAGGTAATCTGTGTGACATGCTTACATCTCAGCTTCATAGGTCCCTGACCTTTGAACTTAGGGATCTTCCCACAGTGCCCCAGGGTGTAGGGCAGCACTTATCCAAGCCACCTGACTCATGATGCTCAGGTTTGGCAGAGTGAAGGACTTGGCCCAGTCCCTGATGTTCCCCTGTGACCTGACTCCTGACCCGACACTGGGGGATAGGATTGGGATCCTCTCCTGGTGGATGGGGACTCCCATCCTTCCCACAGTCAGGACTGGGATCAATCAGATCTTGTTGCCAGAAACCTAGGAGTTCCTGAGAGGTTGGAGCAGGCAACCCCTGCCCTCCACCATGTTCCTTTTTCTTCCCCACACACTTGTCTGCTGAGGTCTGAGTCTGAGAGACCTGACCTGGATCTTGCCCCTGTGAGCTCCCAGGTAGTAGCCAGGAGCTGTGGAGGCTCAGAGAAGTCATTTGATCCCTCAGGAAGATGGGCAAGGGCATCCTGAAGGAGAACATGCCCAAGCTGGGTCTCTGAACCTGAAAAGGTGGAATGGCTGAGGAATTGCCCTGATGCTGGAATTGCAGGGAGGGGGCATGGCATGCAGGCAGGGGTAGGGAGTGAGCAGATGGACCGGGAGGGCCTGAATGCAGTCTGCTTGCTGGGCCCTCAACTAGGGAAGCCACCAGTGGTCAGCTGTCTGTGGGTTTGAAATTGGGTAGGGGGAAGCTGGACCACAGAGAGGTGACTTGTCCTGAATCACACCTGGTGATAGTGAATGTCTAGTTTTTATCAGGCACTGTCCCAGCAACATCCAGTGTTTAAACTTACTGAATTGTACAATGAGGTAGATAGACACAGATGGGACTGCTGAGAACCAGAGGCGAGCAGCCAGGCCTCCTGGCCCCAGAGTTCCTGCAGGTGCCCTCCACACCACTTTTCTCAAACTCTTCTGATAGTATCCCACCGCAGGAGAAACCCAGTACAAGTGCTTGGAACAAAAGGGTCACGGGAAGATAGTTGGATTTACTTGAAGGGAGGCAGGCTTATATTTTCTGTTCCATTCCATTCAAAAACAGTGCTGGTCATGACCCAGTGAGTTTCATAACCCATTTAGTTGGAAAGCCCTGGAGCCCTCTGGTTTCCACCTCTACCTGCATTATCTCTATATTTGTCTAAGCCTCACACCCACGGTGGGAAACGAGTGTCATCATTGTCTTGCTTTATGGATGTGGGGATAGAGTCAAGTGGCCAGCTCGCTTTCAAAGGCTAGAGCACAGTTAGTACTGGGGTTGGAGCTGATAGCTGTGGCTTCAGCCATCCAGCCGTTGGGCAGCATAGCCAGGCCCAGACTCAGGCCTCCCATCTCTGTCCAGGCCTTTCTGTCTCCAATCAGTGTGGCCAGGACAGTCCCAGGGCTGAAGGGGCCTGTAAAGGCAGCCCAGATGTCCCCAGCACCCATGTCTATCCCCAGCCCCTGGGGCCCTGTCCTCTGTTTTCACTGAGAGGGCAGGAGCCAGGCTGGACTCCCGAGGGCCAGGGTCTTCCCCTGCATGGGTACTGATTGGGTTGTCTTTGCAGCCTTGCCCACCCTGAGCAGGCAGCAGGGGGCAGTGTGGCTGTGTGACTGAAGCTGGCAGTGTAGATGGGGAGGTGAGTGAATGCCCAGGCTTTTCCTGGGCTCCCTCTCCATTTGGGGCACACCTACAGAGCCTGACCTCTCCCCTTCCCCAGAACCATGGAGGAGGGGCCATGGGGAGACTTATGGTCAGTTCTCTCTGAGTCTGGCCAAAGGGCTTCACCACTTCTCATCCAGGGATAGGCAGAGTCCTCCTATGAGAGGGATTTGGTGACTCTTTGTCCTGACTGTCAGTTGTACCCACTGACCACCAGAGGAAGGTCAGATACCTTCATTCCTTACCCTCCATAGGCTGGCTCCAGCTTGCCTTTCCTGGGAGCTGTTTCCCAGGATGTTAAATTAGTTAATTAGGGCAAGGAGTTTAGCATGGTGTCTAGCACATGGGAAGCATCCAGTAAGTGTTTGATGCTACTGTTATTATTGTTGTTATTAAATTCTTCTGCACTGTATCCTATTTTCCACACTTCTGCCTTTACCAGCTCTTCGGTCTGGAACCATAGAGTTCTGTCTGTTCCAGAAGTACTTCTGTTCTTCACCCTCATGTAGCCTAGCTGCTGCTTCCTCTGGGAAGCCCCTCCCCTTAATGCTCCTACTGCCAGCAGTAACCATCCCTGATCTGTTATGATTTAAGAGTGACCTCCTGCCCTAGACTGTGAGCATAACAAGCTTTTATTAGTCATCTGCCAGATGTGCCAGACACTTGTGATTGGTGGTCAGGATCCAGAGCCAAACATGATAGAGGGCTGATTCTCAAGGCATTTTATTGAGGGAGGAAACCAAGGGGAAAATAGAAAAACGGAGTGCTCCAGCAAGAACCTCCACCTCACTGTGGGCAGGGGTTTGGGAAGGAGAGGTTGCTTTTAACCTGAGCTATGAAGGATAAGCAGAATTTGCCAGGTAAAAAAGAAGGGAAAGAGCATTCCAGCAGGTGTAGTGGCCTGGGGTGGCAGTCTTGGCATCTTTGGGGCATCACTATAGTTCTCCAGGAATATTGAACTGAATCAACATACTGACTAAACGCTAATTCCATCTCCTTTCTCTCTGCTCAGGTCTCTGGCCATCCGAGTGTCTGGCTGGAGTCCCCCGGGGGGACCTGAGTCCCAGGACAAGGGCCCAGATAGCCTGTCGTTCCTTGGGGACAGCTGGTCTGGCGCTGTTGTGCGGAGGGTGCTCTCTGGGCCAGGGTCGGCCAGGGTAGAACCGAGAGAGGTGAGGCCCCGCCCCTCTGAGCTGGGGGCGGAATCGGTACATTAGCTGGGGCTGGGCACCCTCTGATTGGTGGATCTAGATCATTGGGCGGAGTTTCTGGTCGAAGCAGAGGTGGGCTCATCGACTAGCGGCTGGTTGCCCCGCCTCAACCAGCATTAAGTGAAATCTGATTGGGCAGAGGCTGAGAGGTGGAGCAGACTGATAGCACCTGGACAGATCCCCACCCTTACACGTGGAAAAGACCAGACTGAGCCACGCTGGGTGGGGAGGCCAGTTGCAGGGAGCAGGGTCTGACTGGGCAAGCACCCTGTGAGGTGGGGGCATCAGAATTTTGAGACATGGTCACCCCCACACGCGGTGTTCTTCAGCCCCAGGGCTGCCCTGGGAAGCTAGCTCAGTTCCCTCCCTGTCTGGGTTTTCTACCAGCCAAGGGCAGAGGCTGCTGGTTTGGAGGGGGCAGGCCTGGAAGGCGAGGCCCAGCAGAGAACCTTGCCCCGGAAACAGACGTCCACACTCCCACTGATGGACTTCAAGGGTAAACCTGGCCTGGGGCGGGCAGGGACTGAGGACGCAGGAGTCCTGGAAGGTCAGAACTGAGGGCCCACGAGAAGGCTCCTCCAGTCCATAGGGTGGGTGGGACAGCCACGGCCTGGGACGGGGATGGCTCATGTCCTGACTCCTGTCAGCGCCCTTCCCTCCTACGCCGCTGGCCGCTTGCTAGTTGTCTCTTCTTATGCCCTTCCTGTCTTCTCCTCAGTAAGCAACTTACAGTGAAAGGAGCAGTGGATAGGAGTCCAGAAACCTGGGTTTGGGTCCTGGTTCTGTCCCCAGTGGGCTTGGTGGCTTTGGGCCCATCCCCTCCCTCCCTGGGCCTTGGACTCTCATTTTAAGAAGGGGAAGGTATGACCTCTCTGAGATTAATGCTTGACTTTCTCCTTCCCTTGTCCTCGCTGCTGCCCCCTGCTTTGTCCACACTCAGCCTGCCAGTCCTTCCACGAGGCCCTGGACGCCTGGGTGAAGGAGCCGGGAGCTGAGCCCTTCTACATTCGAGCCAACCTCACCCTGCCTGAGCGGGCTGACCCCCATGCCCTGTGTGTGAAAGCTCAGGAGATCCTGCGGCTGGTGGACCCGGCATACAAGCGGCGGCAGGAGTGGTTCTGCACGCGGGTCGACCCCATCACCCTGCGAGACCTGGACCGGGGCACCGTGCCCAATTATCAGAGGTGACACAGCCCGCAGCCCTGGGAGCCGGGACTGGGATGGGGGACTCTCCCTCTTTTCCTGCAGTACCTCGCCATCCTCTGGGACAGGATTGGGGGAGGGGGCTGGAGGAGAGAAGGTGAGAAACTCCCCATCTCCCTACAAACTCATGACATGACCTCCCTTCTTTCACCACCCCTTCCCGCCAGAGCCCAGCAGCTCCTGGAAGTTCAGGAGAAATGCCTGCCATCCAGCCGACACCGGGGCCCCCGCAGTAATGTAAGCTGGGCTGCGGAGGACAGGGTGAGGGCTTGGGGAGGGGGTGCCAAGTGGGGGGTGCTGAAAGGGAGAGGACAGGCTCCATTCTCTGGAAGCTGGGGGAGGAGACCCTACCCACTTTGTTGCTCATCTTCTTGGTGAGCATTTTGGTTGCGTCTTCACCCAGACTTGATTGATCCTGTCCCCAGTGTGTCTGTCAAAGAGAATAGCAACAGGACTCCAGTCCGGGTAGTTGAGAGGGGGACGTGAAGCAGTGTGCCCGGTGCTTAGGAGCATGGTGACATGTGGTGAGCACTTAACAGAATGGTAGTCACACTCCCTTCTCTGATCCGTGTACCACGCGCCTGGGCAGAGCAAGGCTCAGAGAGGTTAAATATTTCAAGAGACCTGGTACTGGAGAGAAGGTGTAGAACTTGGGTTGGAGCCAGGCCTCTGGAGTTTGCATCCCAGCTCCATTCCGTCTTTGCTGTGTGACCTTGGACAACCACCTGACCCTCTCTTGAGGCTCTGTTTCCTCATCTGTAAAATGGGGAACCCAGCCTGCCTCCTGGGTTCATGCATGTGGGATCTAGTTAGCATTCGTCACATTGTCACATTATTTGACGCCTGTCAACTATTGATATCCATGGAGTCGAACATGACTGAGTAACTGAACAGCAACCACTATTGTTAGAATTAGTGCTGTCGATTTTGGTTTTTCTATACTCTTCCTACACTGCTGATTAATTGGAAGAGACCCCAGAGTTTGTCTCTTACATCTTATTAGGTCCTTCTGGGCCTCCATTTCTGATCTGTAATGTCAGGCAGACCTAAGGCTCCTCTAGCTCTAGCTAGCTCTAGCAGTCTTGCTTCCCTGGGTTCCTATTGATGGTCACCCTCCTCTGTCTCGGGGGCTGTGCTGGGCCAGGTGGGGGCAGGGGACAGCCAGATAGAGAGGGGGTTCTTGTGCTGACCCATGAGACTGGACGGCAGGGTCCTTTCTCCCTGAGGATGGGATGGAGCTGAGCTCTCAGGTGCCCCTCTTTTTCTACTCCCTCACCAGCTAAAGAAGCGTGCCCTGGACCAGCTGCGACTGGTGAAGCCCAAGCACGTGGGGAGTCCTCCTGGGGACTCCCCAGAGCAGTTGCTGCTGGAGCCCTGCTCAGGTGTGTGCCCAGGTGTGAAGGTGCAGCCACTGCCTACGGGCTCCAGGAATGTGCCCATCTGGGTGTCCTTTGGCCTTGGTGTTCCCTTTGGCCTTGAAGGACTTGTGGGAGGGTTCCAGTTGGGGGCACGGTGCAGGCCAGGGACCTGGTGGGAGATGGGCCACCAGGATGGAGGGAGCTGGTCTGTGTCCAGGTGTGACCAGGGGTGTGTGTGAGGCACAGACAAGCATGGGCCTGTTCTTGTCTGGCAAAGCATGCACAGCTGTGCCTTTTGCCTGTGTATGGTGGCAGGTGCCATGATGACCCCAGAGGGAGTTCCTGGAGGAAGGAGGATGAGGGGTTAGGGGAGCCCAGAGGAACGAATAGCAATTCTGAGGGTAAGGCTGGTTAGGAAAGGCTTCCTGGAAGGGAGATTGTTTGAGCTGGGGCCTTCCAGGATGAAAAGGCATTCGTTGCAGAAGGCAAACACTCAGAGGCATGGCTATGTGTCTTATACTTGGAGGACACTGAGTACAGCAAATGCATATCTCTTGTCACACATTGTGGTAGAGGGGATGGGGAGGGGAGAGAGGGGAGGAGAGAGAGGGGAGGGGCGAGGTAGGAGGGGTCCCTGCCCACCTGGGAGCTTGGGAAGGCCTGACCTGGGCTCTGACAGGAGAGTTAACTGGGCCACCAGGGCATGCAGAGGTCCCGTGATTAGAGCTGCTGATCTGTGAGGTCGGAATAGAGCCTGTAGTGAGGGGATCTGTGGCTTGCTGCCTCCCCAGCTCTGGCAGGGCTGGGTCACCCACGTGGAGGATGTGGCCTTCTTCCTGAGAGTTGTGGGAAGTCACTGGTGCATTGAACACAGGGGAGTTACAGGATCTGACTTCAGCGTTGAAGCCTGCCTCAGCTGCCGAGAGGAGAATGGCCTGTAGGGGGCACGGTTGAGGCCCGGGATGGGGAGGAGGACAGTCCCAGTGAAGCCCCGCAGCGGGTGTTAGGAAGGGAAAGAAGATAGGGGCCTTGAGAGGAGGCACTGGGGCTCTGAGTATTGAGGGGGCTGGCCATCCCAGCAGCGAGGAGCTGGGGCCCTGCCTGCACCCTCATCTCGTCTACATCCTGTCCCTTCCCGTACCCAGAGCCAGAGCGGAGCCTCAAACCCTACAGCCTGGTGTGGCCCCTGCTGGTATCTGCCCTGCGGCCTGTGGTGCTCTTGCCTGAGTGCCTGGCGCCCCGGCTCATCCGCAACCTCCTAGATCTGCCCAGCTCCCGGCTGGACTTCCAAGTGTGCCCAGCGGGTGAGCCTGCACACTTGAATATGGGAGGGCGGGATGGCACCCTGGGGCAGTCAGGCCTACTGGCCCTTCATCTGTGCCTTCCTGTGCTTTGCAGAAAGCCTCTCTGGAGAGGAACAGTGCACATTGTCAGCACCTGGAGCCCCCAAGGCCCGGCCTGCCGCCCCCGGTCTGGGCAGCAGGATCCGTGCCATCCAGGAGTCTGTTGGGAAGGTAGGTGCTTGGGGTGGGGCATGGGGGGTGGTGCCCTCCGGGCCCAGGAGCAGAGGGTGACCCTGGGCAAGCCCCTTCCCTTCCATGGGTGTCTTCTCACCTGTGAAATGGGTGACCTGGGGCATTCTGCCTCAAGTGGCTCACCCTGGAGAGTTTGGCTGATACATCTGATCTGTTCATCCTTGTCTCAGACTTGCGGCTCCCCTGGGAGCCACCTGGGGCTGCCATGGGTGGGGTCAGAGCCCTCTGCAGATTGGGGTCTAGGGAAAGTGACCTATTATTTCTCTGGGTCTTGGGCTTTCCCTTCCAGTTCTTTCCTTATTGCCAAGGTGGATGGGGAAGCTGGACCCTGTAGGGGGCTGTGTTATGGGGACCCAGTCCGGGGGCAGGGAGGCTAGGGTCTCTGGCCTGGGAGTAAAATGTAGCCTTGACCACCCCTACCCTGAGAAGAAGCACTGCCTGTTGGAGCTGGGTGCTCAGGGTGTGCGGGAGCTGGTCCAGAACGAGATCTACCCCATCGTCATCCATGTGGAGGTGACCGAGAAGAATGTCCGGGAAGTCAGGTGAGTTGGGCCGGGAGGAGGGGTAAAGACTTTGTGCTTCCTCCTGTTTGGGTGCCTTGCTCTCTCTCTCCATCTCTTCGTTTGTCTTCTGTCTGTCTCTCTGACTCCCTCTGTCCATCCTCCCTCTCTGACTCTCCATGTCTTAGTCCATTCCTTTCTCTCTCTCTCACTGTCTATCTTCATCCCCCTCTCTGACCACTGCCTACTGTGCTCTCTCGGCAGGGGTCTGCTGGGCCGGCCGGGCTGGCGGGACTCCGAGCTGCTGCGGCAGTGCCGGGGCTCAGAGCATGTGCTCTGGGGGCTGCCCTGCTCCTGGGTGCAGGTCCCCGCCCACGAGTGGGGCCACTCGGAGGAGCTGGCCAAGGTGGTGCGGGGCCGCATTCTGCAGGAGCAGGCCCGCCTTGTGTGGGTAGAGCGTGGCAGCACCAGAGGTGGCAACAGCAGCAGCAGCAGCAGCGAGGCCTGAGGGCCCCCCTGGAATGCCTGTGCCTTCCTCACGCACTCCAGAAGCCACCACCGGGGACTCTGGTGTCTGCAGTGGACCCAGGTCCTCCCCATCCTGAGCCTTCCTCAACCCTGGGACTCTTGACGTGGGGCCTCGGCTCTGGGCTCTCTCACCCAGGGGAGCCCCTGGCCAGAGCTCCCTCCCACCCCTGGACTTGCTGCTCTGGGCCTTCCCCTGGCTCTGTGTCTCCACGAACCCTTCTCGTGGGTCTCACACACACATCTGTGTCCTGTCCCTCATCTGCGTTCTCAGTCCTGTGTGTTGGTTTGCACACCCAAGATCCCACAGGGTGGACTCGAGTCTGCCCCTCCCCTCGGCTCACGAGGTCTCCTGCGTCCACAGCCTCTTATTTCTTTTTTTTTTTGGCCTCACTGTGTGTGGCATGCAGGATCTTAGTTCCCTGACCAGGGACTGAACCTGTGCCCTGTGCAGTGGAAGCATAGAATCTTCATCGCTGGATCACTGGGGAAGTCCTCCACAGCCTCTTCTGTTCACAGGCACCCCCGAGCCTGTCGTGTGTGACAGCCACCCGTCCAACTGACATTTTTTGTGTTTACCTCCACGGGGGCATTGTGGCTTCCCCAGTCTACTGTCACCTGTGCCCCTCGTGTCTTCCAGTCACATGTGTGTCCGTGGTTCTCCCCTGTGTAAATGTCATGCCCCCCAGCCCCGTGACCTTAGGCACTAACCCGCGTGTGTTCCTGGTGAGCACACCCCAGGACCATGTTCTCACAGCACCTGCGCCCCTCCCTGCCCTGCCTCTTGGAGGGATGGGTGGGGAGGGCGCCAGCCACTCCGTTACCAGAATGTACAGCTTGTGGATTTTTAATGGGCTTTTTTTCCCTCAGAAGCTGCACATTAGGGAACATTAAACAGTTTGTCATAGAAGCTGGTGGCCTTTTGCTTGCTTGCCTCCCTGGCCTGGGCCCCCTTCCCCTCGTCCCACTTGTTGCCACCCCCAGCTCAGGTTGATGCCACCTTTCAGGTTCCTGCTCGCCCATGGGGAGGGTCAGATTTCTCTCCTGACTCATCCTGGAGCTGCCTGCCATCTGTGCTGGCATCACCTTACCTGCCCCCAAATGACCGGAGGAGGGCCCCACAGATGGGCCACCCCTGCGCCCAGCCCTGCCTGTGTCTGATCATCAAAGAGATGTCTCGTGGAGCGGGGATACCTAGCCAGCAGGGTGTGGTCTTAGGCTAAGGGGCTCAGCCACTGAATCCAGGAGACTAAGAGCAAACCCTCAGTGTACTACCAAGTCCGTAAGACTGCTTCACTGGAGAGGATGAGAACTTCCAATGGGAGAAATCTAGCAGGCTTACTGGAGGAGGTGCTGCTTGAGCTTGGGGTGTGGGATTCCTTTCTTTAGGAAGCACTTAAGGGACTCACATGCTTATGTTGTTCTTGGTCCTCCTAGGACTCTCCTCAGTCACAGTGATGAACTTGGGCAGGCTCCTGGGAGTTGGGGAGAGTGGGTAGACTAGGTGGAGGGAACCTCAAGAGCAACAGCTCAGTGGCAGAAAACGGGTTGAGATTGGCCACTGGGGAGTGGCAGGAAATGAAGCTGAGAGGTCCAAGTCCAGGGGTTGGGGGCTGCTTAACATTTGGGGTCTGGCTCAGATATCATTTCCACAAAGCCGCCTGATTTTCCCAGGCCTTGGGAATTCTGGGCCATGCCATGCTCTGCTTTGTGGCCAGATGGTGGGTCTCTATGGGTGGCTATTGGCTCCCTGGCCATGGAGACTGGGTTATGCTCATTGGGGTAAGCAAACCATCCCCGCTTCTTGGCCCTGTGCTTAGTCTATGGGCATACGAGCCTGGGTGAAGTTGCAGGAGTCCAGTGGCTGGTCCCATGTTAGGTGCCCTTTCCATGGGGGTAGAGAAGCCCACCAACCCCAAGTCATTTTTGTTCCCATCTTACAAATGAAAGTGAAGTTCAGAGAGGTGAAGTAACTTGTTCAGAGTCACACAGCTAGGGAGTGGCCCAATCAGGATTTGAACCCTGGTCTGTATGGCATGAAGCATGGGTTCATCCCTTGAAGATGCCATTCTGAAAAGATGGGCTGTGAAGGGGCCTGGCACAGGGCTGGGCCATAGAAAGGTGATTCAGAAGGGTTGGTTTTCCTTTTCTCTCCCTTTATAGTGCTAATGCACGTATCTGGTATTTCCTGTGTTTAACAAGAAAAATTTGAGTGCCTACCATGTGCCAGGCCCTGTTCTAGGTACTAGGAATTCAGTGGATAAAAAGAAATCCCTGCCCTGATATTCTCATGAGGAAGACAGACAATAAATAAATAAATATAGAGGATGTTGAAGGCTGAGAAGTACTTTTGGAGAGAACACTGCAGAAAAGGGGCCCTGGGAAACAGAGCCTGGAAAGCTGGGAAGGAGGGGGGAGGAGTTGCAATTTAAATAAAATGGTCTGGGAAGGCTTCATGTAGAAGATATTTGTGTAGACTTGAAGGAGGTAGGGTGATGAGGGAGTTAGATCTCTGGATCTCTAGAGCTGGCAGCCTGGGTAGAACTAATTATTTTGAGAGTCCATAGAGTTGAGTCACTGATTCATTTTATTAAATTTGAGTGAATCTCATTTTTCATTTTTAAAAATCCTAATTATTATTTTGATCCCTTCTTTACAAAGAGGTAAAAATCACTTTAAAATACCTAGTATAGTATGAATTTATTGCCTGAAGGTCAGTGATTTTCTATATAATCATGAAACTATAGCTTAAAGAGTATTGTCTCTTTCATCTAGCCTGAGATGTGAATGCTAAGGCTTTCAGGTTTTTTGGTAGCATTATGTTGGTAGAACCAGTTGACTTGATAGGCCAGTTGAATTGTTTCTCAGGACCAATATCACAGGTGGCTCAGTGGTAAAGACTATGTCTGCAGTGCAGAAGACTCAGGAGACTTGGGTTCGATCCTTGGGTTGGGAAGACCCTCTGGAGAAGAAAATGGCAACCCACCCCAATATTCTTGCCTGGACAATCATCCACGGACAGAGGAGGCTGGCAGGCTACATTCCATGGGGTCGCAGAGTTGGACACAACTTAGCGAGTAAACGGAGAGAGGCCCAGGCAGGAACCATGGGCAAAGGTCCTGAGGTGGATGTGTCCCTGGACTGGTCAGAAGCCCACTGGGTCTGGAGTGAGGAAGCAAGAGGAGAAGAGTAGGAGCTGGGACTGGAGGTAACAGGGGCCACTCTTCCAGGGTCTGCAGGCTGGTGTTGACCCTTGGCGTTTTTGAAGCCATCAGGGTTCTAGCAGAGGGAGGACAAGACATGAGTGACCTTGTACCAAACAAGACGGAGGGATTTCTTTGGTGATCCAGTGGTTAGAAATTCACCTTGCAACGCAGAGGACACAGACTTGATCCCTGACCTAGGAAGATCCCACATGCCAAGGAGCAACTAAGCCCATGAGCCGGAACTATGGAGCCTGCGCTCTAGAGCCCACTAGCCGAAAGAAGAGAAGCCCCTGCTCACTGCAACTAGAGAAAGCCTGAGTGCCACAATGAACACCCAGCACAGTCAAAAATAATTAATCAATTAACTAAAAAAAAAACCAAATGACAGAGGTGGTGGCTGCAGAAAGCCCTCTGTCCACTGGGCTGGCTGGGAGAGAGGAAGCAGTAACGACTGCTGAGCAAGATGGACTATGGTGGGTCACAGCAG